CCCTCTCGGAGCAGGTGAGGGGTGCCAAGTTGCTTTGGGGTGAGGCCCAGCGCAAGCCCGCTCCTTGCATTGCATCCCCTTGCGAGGGCAGGCCTGATTCTGCACTGTGTCTGGAGAGCTCCGGCGGCTGCGCTGATGGGCTCAGCCCCAAAGTGGGGAGGTCCCTGGGGAGCCCCTCGCCTTGCTTTTGCCCCCCACTATCCCAGGAGATGGGTGGCAGCCTCCCGGTGAGAGCACTGGGAGGAGGTGCTGCTGGCAGGAGAGGAGGAGGAAGGGGGAGGGGGGGGGGGAAAGGAAGGAGCTGGGGAATGGCCACAGCAGGCAGGGCTGACCCAAGCACGACTCTTCAAAGTTTCTCAAGAGGCCTCAGCCACTCTTTCAAGGTTTGCGTTAAATCTGTCACATTAGCGAAAATAGTGAAAATTACCTGGCTTGTGGAGGAGATGAAAGGCAGCCCCCTTCCGATCCCTCCATAAAGGAAGGGCCCCATTAACACCTAGTGAAATATTAGCTATTAATCAGGCTCTGTGCAAAATAAAACCATCCACATTTATCATTATTGGATCCTTAATGAAGTGATAATGGGAATGCTGGGGAGCTGTGATATTAATGTCTCCTAAGAGGCAAGAGCAGAGCCAAGGGCGGCAGCCAAGATTTTTAATTTACTGCCAAAAGCTCGTGCTGTTAATAACGCAGTTACTTCTCCCGGCCATTAGCACTGTTTGGCTACGAGCAGCCCACTTAAGAGAGCGAATCGACCCTGAACACGCCTGGGCTTTGCTTGCCCGCTCCCTGCCCAGCGGCTGGGTGTGCTTTTCCCCAACGGCTGTCCCTGCATCCCCTGCCCGGGTGCGGGGATGTGGCCAGGGAGCTGTCGGCCATCTCCTTCCTGGAAGCTGGCTGGTGTAGAAAGAGGTTTTGCTTTGCCAATAAAAAGGGCAGGGACTGGGAGCACCAAAACCAAGCAGCTCTTGTTGTCCTCGTTCTTTCTGTGACTTGTCTCCTTAGGTGAAAGCGCCCCTCACGTGACGCGAATATCCCAACCAGGACAGTGCGGGTAAGCTGCAAAGCCCTGCTCAGCTGTGGTGACTCACTCAAGTTCCCGACGGGAAAGTCATCGCTTCTGGCAGGCTCTGACAGCCCAGAGGCAAATCAGTACGTGGCAGGTAAGTGATGCTGTTGCATCTTTAGATGCAACTGTTATCTCGTAAATCCTTGCAAAACCTGACCGGTGTGGTCCAGGTGTATGCTGGCTCATGCGTGGGGTCTTCTGCTGTCAGCGAAGGGACTGCAGGTCAGAGGGAGCTGGCTTAGGCCTAGAGCAGTAAAATGCAATTCCGTGCTGAGCACAGTCCAGAGGAATAAAATGATGCCTTGTTTGTAAGGGGTGCGCATGCTCCAAAGCTCCTTTCCTCCCTAGGCAGAAGATGCACCAAGGTCCATGCAAGCAATCTGTCGGAAACGGAGCTTCGCTCTATCCAGGTAGAAGCATCAGAAGAGGAAAAGTGTTTCTGTAACCCAGGTGTCCTTGGTCAACCTCCCCCTGTCCTGTTATCTCCTCATTAGAAAAGAAGGGACACGAACAAAAACCGTATATGGAGGCCAGGTGAATGTAGATGTGAAGTGCACTTCAAACAGCTCCATCCTTTCAACAAACCTTTTATCAACCTTCTCTCCTCCCCAACACAAATTCTTTTTAATGATGAGTGAAAAGGCACTTTTTAGAAAGCAAGGACACTGCTCAGGGTACGCATGGTATTAGCAGTGTAGGCATTTCCCAGGAGAAGCCAGCGAGCCCTAGCCCAAGGTCTTCTGAACTTGACTGCGACACAGCGCAAGCAGCGGCTCCAAGGACTAGTGCGGCGCTCGGTGATGCGGCAGGGCTGTGGGCAGAGCGCCGGGGCATGGCGGGCCCAGGCTGGCACGCTGGACCTGCTGCTGAAGATGCCAGTGACCCTTCTGCCAGGCACCTCGGCCCAAAACCGGAGTCACTCTGGATTTCACCGGAGCAGAAGTGGACAGGAAGCATTAATGTTTTGGAGCCACATTTAGCCAGTTATCCTGGCCACAGCCCAGACTTTTTGGCTGTATCGTTGCTTGTGTTAGTGCCCCTGCGGTGCTGGCATGCCGGGCATGCAGCAAAAGCCAAATGCTCTGAAACCTGCTGGTGACCTCCGGAGAAAAACGCGCAGCACAAAGCAGCTTCTCCTGCGCAACCACCGCCTGACATCACGGGGGCACAGTGAGCTTTAGAACACTTGGCAGGCTTCTCCCAGCAGATCTCAAAGCTGTTTGCCAGTGTGAGCAAGTTCAGGCATGTTACAGAAGACCTTCAGACTCAGAGGACAAATGAGATGCGTGGATGAGTTTAAACCACCGGGGGAAGACCAGGGCTTTGAAATCCCCAGGCTTGTGCCTTGACACTACGTCTGGGCTGTGGCCCAGACAGTCCAGCTGCCAGCCTGGCATCGATACCGGGCCCCGTGACGGTCCTGCTGATATCCCTACTTGTTAGATATTGGCTTCAAAACCAAAGCAGGAGGTGTCGCATCCTCCTCAAAAATCCACCCTCCGATCAATCTCAGAGCAGGGTGCAGAAGGACTGTTCAGTGAGGCACCATGACTCGTGGTGTTGGCAGGATGGTGTATTTATGTCACAAGATGAGATCAGCCACATGGAGTAGATCTGTCTGTCTGGAAAGAGTCTAAGTCAAGCATGTCCTATTAAATTAGGGCTGGATTTTCAAAGGAGCTCAGCTCCCACTTAGGCTCTGTAACAAACAGGCAGATATTCAAAAGGAGTCGAATGTGTTGGGTCCTACTGGCTGCTGAGCTGAAGCCCTTTGAATATCCAGCCAAAACTGTCACTGTGCTTGTTGCTACAGGCAGAGCCCTTCTGAAATCCCGCCCCACCATGGGCTCCGTGTCCTGGGAAACTCAGCTGATCTCTGCTCTCCCACATATTGCACCGCAGTAGGTGATGAAACAGCGATAACCACTGCATCCTCATACATGCGGGGAAGCGGCTCCCTGTCAAAGCACGGCTCCAGCAGCTTTGCCCTTTGATCAGCTCAGCAGCATGGGTCAGGAGAGCCGAGCGTGAAGGTTTCCTTGCCTTTTGTTCTGCAGAATTAGTGGAGTTAATCAGAGTGACAGTGACTTCTGCCTCAGCGCAGAAGAAAGGTCAGTGGCTCTGCCTGGATGCGCAACTGTTTTCTAGGCAGTTGGAAAACAACACTGTGAAAGCTCATGGCACACATGCTGCAGGCCTGGAGGCTCTCCTGACGGATCAGTGGGGAAGATGTCCAATTTTTTTTGGAGAAGAAGGGCTCAGCTGGTTCACCACTGCACCTCAATCGTCCCCTTCCTTATGTTGCACAGTGAAGGTATACCACCCTCTGTGTCACTGCACTGCTTGTGCGTCACGTGTCGGGATGAAACACTGCCGATGTGCTCCTTAGCTGTGCTGCTGGGTGTGTGTCGTGCTGGGCTTGGGGCCTTTGTGTCACCTCAGGCACCCTGGTGTGGGAGGAGCCGCAGGGCGGTGTACGGTGCGTGGAGCTGGTGCTGGGTGTCCCCTTCCCACTGCGTCCCCCCGCCAGCACCTCCGTGCCTCTGGCTGGGCAGGCCGTGCTGTTGCTCTTCCATGGCTTCAGTCACTGTGAGGCACTTTGTGAACCTGCAAAAGCCCCTTGATGAGCTGCTCTTGAGCTGGGGGCACTGGCGGCGCAGCAGCCGCAGCGAGGGCTCTCCCTGGCAGCCCGACCACAGCCTTGCTTTCCCCACGTCTTCTAACTGTAGTGGAAGCAGACACAGGAGTGGCGGCTCACAGCAGTGTTAAATGTGGCCTCTGTGTCCGTAATGTGACCTCTTGCCTTCCTCTGATCCCAATTACAAGTGCTTGCTTTTGCTGTGGACATCCACTCATGTGTTTAATTAGTGGATTCTTTCTCTCAAAGATACTAGCAGCCTTAACAGTGAGCCCTAATTTAAGTAGTTTACATTTGTCTGCAGTGTTGAGGCCTTCATTTACCCCCAGTCCTAATTAAATGCATCTGGCTATCTGCAGAGGGAGCTCTCACAATCTCTCCGTGGCTCTAATTAAAACGGCCTGGATGTCCATGACATTGGTGCCTGTTAAGCCTGTCACCAGGAGGTGATGCCCACCTTGGAACTGGCTGAAGAACGCATAGGAGTCATTGTTGCTGAGAAAAGCCTCCACATCGAGGCCCTCCTGCAGTGCCTCATCCACCAGCTCCAGGCTGCAGATGGCACCCGCCGCCTCCGTGGGCCCATCCTGCCCATCCGTTCCCCCGCTGAGGAAGACGATCTCGCATCTCCCTGGGGGGCTGCTGAGTTCTGTAGCCTGTGCCCTGTGCAGCTCCAGCCCCACGCGCAGGGCCAGCTCCTGGTTTCTCCCTCCTTTGCCCGTTCCTTGAAGCTGAACCGTGGTTTCTCCACCGGCCAGGATGCAGACTGGTCTTTCAGGTCCTAATCCTCGCAGGGCCTGTAGAAACTCGGCAAGGTTCAAACCCGGGATCTCTAGCTCTGCCACCAGCTGCAGGAGATTCCCTCTCACCTCATTACCCAGGGGCCCTTCTCTGAGGCCGGTGAAGCCCAGGCAGACTAGCCGGATCAGCTGGCAGTACAGCGTGGCAACACGGCTGACTTCCCCACAGACTGCTGCGCTCAGAATCAGAGTTGCATAGCCCAGGCCCTCAGCTTGGCGTTTGGCCTCTTCTAAAGCCAGCATGTTTGATCCGATGATGATGTTGCAAACGTGGGAGTAGTCTTCTGGAGCACTGGGCTTGGTGGGAGAGCTGGACAGAACTGTTTCCACTGACTTGGGCAGGTTGTGTAGCAGGTTGTATTTGGCGAGTATCTGAAGGCAGTCTTGGATGCTGTGGGAGCTGGCAGCAGTGGGCCCACTCGCTATGATGTCCACGGGGTCACCAATCACATCAGAAAGGATGAGGCTCACCACCTACCAAGAGAAACACCTGCAGATTATTGTGGGAGGCAGACACAGGTGATTGTGCAAGAGTCTGGCACAAGCACTGCTCTGAGTTCCACCTGCACCACCCTCATGTCAAAGCAGATGGAGACAGGGGTAGATCTTGGCCCATTTTTGTTTTAAGGTTCCATGAGGGTCACCTTGCCCTTCTCAAATTTGCAGATCTAAACCAACCTTTGATGTCAGATGGTGACCTAGTGTGGGCTCAGTAACGGCATGTGCTGAGAACAGTCCCCAGGGGAGCCAAGAGATGGACCCAGGCTCGAAAGCGTTGTGGTGGAGCACTAGCATGCTGGAAGTCCCTGCTGGGAGTGGTGTGATGGGACGGCTGACACTTGCAGAGTCTGAATTCCCCCTGCTCCATCTCTGTCTTCCTGAGAGTTTGGGTCCTCAATGACATCTGAGCCACAGAGTCCCAAAACAGATTGCAAAGGTGATTCATTTAGTGACGGGGGAAAAAAACCCCTGCCAGTACGCTTAGGTCAGTTGATTAAATGCCTATTTTGAGGGCAGATGGGTGATCTCTGGGCAAGCAGGGGCTTCCCCTCAGTTACCTGTGCGGGATATGCGAGCTGGGCCAGCCCTCCACCCTTCAGCAAGGACAGAGTCTTCCGGACAATATTCAGTTCCTGTATGGCAGCTCCTTGGGAAGCCAGCATCTTTGTGAGTTCCTCCTTCTCTTTGAGGAGGATGGGAGGGATGGGAGCAGGCAGCAGGGCTGATCCACCCCCTAGGATGCAGAAGAGATGCCAAGAACATCAGGATGGCAGGAAAAGGAGGACAGGAAGAAAGCAAGGCTGTTCAACGCTTGAGTCTGTCTTCCCTCACCAGCGTGCAGCGGGAAGGCAGAGGTGGTTGGAGAACTATGCTGAGATCTCTGCAGAATTTCATCTTCTTCACCAATGGATTTTAATCACTGCTGCCCCGCACTATTTGCGGTCAGCTACGTTTCACCTGGGCAGTGTAAACCTCACCAGCCCAGGTACCACATGCCTGCAGTGCCGTGGGGATGACAGAGAAGAGGCAGCAATTACTATGCCCACCACATCAGGCTTAGTGTGTTGTCACACTGATTTCTCAAGGGCTGTGAGCAGGGAGTGTGGGCTCCACAACTCACACAGCAGTCAGTGCTAAGCAGATGGAGACACTGCCTGCTCTGGCTCCATTTATTCAGGACAGTGTGTGAAGACACCAGCTATGGCTGCAGCAAGATCAGAAACTGAACCGCACTCATCTAGACCTGGGAGGTAAGGAAAGGGGGAGGGAGTAATGCAAAGGACAAAGCACAAAGAATCCACGGTGATAGATGGGATTCCCATTGGTGAGGCTGATACAAGTGGGCACCGGAAATGTGGAAAAGGGGGCAAGAAAAAAAGGTTCTATTGGAAAAGTGGAATGGATGGAAAATACAGAGTAGAAAGGAGCAAGAACTGAGCAGAGAGTGTATGGAAGTACAGCTGAAAGCTACTGTCAAAAGGCAAAGCCTGCTCAGACGTTTGAGACAAATCAGTATCAATAAAACATGATGAGCAAGAAAAACAAATGCAAATGCCTGTGTTTCAGTCAATAGCCAGGGATCTAGCAGAGAGTCAGGAGCAGTTGGGGACCGGCTGCTGCGTGGGAGTGTGTGTGCATGGGGAGCCACAGCTGTGGGGAGATCCTGTACAGGCTCCCTGAAGGGCTGAGGAATCTCTTGGAGATCCCTGTAGCCAAAGGACAGGAGGAAGCCCAGGGGAATCCCCTGCAAGCGCAGCTGGATGCCATTCACTTGGGTGTTTGCCTAACAGCACTATTTTCTCTGTACTAAATTGGGCTGCAGCATCCACAGAGGAACCAGAGGGAAAATCACTGAGCAGAGGAGACCAAGGGGTTTCTACAGAGCTGCTCCAAGCCCTGCATGCTTTTGCCCTGTGACACCCACTCACTCAGCTGACCTCAGGCTGGGGTGACACCACTGCATCCCTCTGATGCACAATATCTACCTTCCTTACCCAGCCCTGGGTCTGGGGACAGCCTGGGGGCCTAGCAGCCAGGGCCTGGGAGTGTTCAGCGCTGACCCTGCAAGGTGTGTTGTGGCCTCATTTCCACTGCAAAACCCTGGAAAGGGTCAGTCCTGAATCTCAGCTTACAGACTTGCACCCCTGAGCAAATTCAGAGCATGCAAGTCCACCAAGTGCTTGCTTCTCCAAGTCTGCATCCCCAAATGTAAGGAGGGGGCAGGAAGAAAGCGTCCCCTTGCCAAGGGGTGAGAGCAGCTGGCAGGCTGTGCCCAGAAGTGCCATCTCACAGGGGTGGCACAACCGCAGGACCCAGCCTGTGCAGCTCAGCTTCTCCCCTGTGCTGGGAGGCAGTGTGCTGCAGCAGCAGGCAGCCCTGTGCCCTCCCCTGCCGCATCCCTGGAGAAACGCTGGCAAGAGAATGGAGAGGAAAAATCACAGAGGTGCAGGTGTCAGTGCAGAAAGAGCTGGCACAGCACAGCGCTCCCCTGCTGTGTGGCTGTGTGTGGGCAGGCAGCTGGAGGGCCCTCACCAGAGCCCATTCCCTGGGATCCCCATGCTACCTGAGATCAGCACAAGGAGCAGGTCATCTGCAGTCAGGCCCTCAGCCAGCTCCTGGATGGCAACTGCTCCCTTCAGAGCCTCTGCATCCGGGAGGTTGTTCTTGGCACCTTCGATGACCCGGATTTTGCTGCGTGGCTTCAGGAGCATCTCCCTGGTGAGGTAAGAGAGGCAATCACACTACTGACACGTGCACCTACAC